GGCATTCTGTTGATTATCTTTTCAGCCATTTTGTAATTCATGGTTTTGTCTGTCTTTCCCTCCATAAATGTAGCGAAGACAAAGTCAGCGTCTGAGTTATCCATCCCCTGATTTCCGAGCCTGCGCACAGTTTTGTTTTGAATGTCGTTGATGGTGGCCATGTATATCTAAGGAATATTTTAACCTCCGTTTGCGATACCAAAATACCCGTAAATCTGCTGTACCCGTCTTCGTAAATCCGCGGGTTAAACCCCTAAATCTTTGGCATCGATCGCGAGTCCCCCTACCTGCTGCTGGCGTTTACACGGAGACGGTCTTTAGCCGGCTATTTTCGAAAACGCTTTTCAAAGCGGATGTTTTTGAAAACGCTGGTTATGCGCTTCCGTGTAAACACTCGAGGCCGGATATGGAGTACTCAATTGATGACTTCACAAAAATTATTTTTCGCTTGATCATATTTTTGGTTAACAAATTCGATAGACAATCAGAAAAGACGTTTACACACCAAATTTGACGAGAATCGGACAAATATCAGCTGAGACGTTTGGAACGGAGCCGAAAATACAGCGGATTTGTATGGAGTAATTATATATTTAAATGGTCATATCGCAGGTGATTATCGTCCGATTCTCGTCACATTTGGTGTGTAAACGTCTTTTTTGATTGTCTATAGAAATTAGAGATCAAAAATAATTAAAGTCAAAATTTATTTTTTCGTTCTATTTTCGTAAATGCTGATGCGCTAAACAAAGGAGATCGCAGGCTCAGGAACTATGCGCATGCTCATTTAGCTCCTATGGGGGTTTTCGAGTCGATGGAGCGTTTTCGTGTAAACGGTCGAAAACGAGGCGAAAACGATGAGCGTTTACACGAAGCCGCATAAAAACGCACTTTTTTTTTTACCCGGATAAAAAAATATCCGGCTTCGTAAAAACGGGGCCTTCGGTCTCAGTTGGTAGCGTGTGACTGGGAATCGCAGTAAAGTTCGGATCCATGTCATGCGAAAGAGAGCAGTAACTGTTAAATCTCGCCCGTAGTACAGGTTCTCTTAGTAACTGATTTTAACATTTATGAGTGTGCTTTAACGAGAGAGTACACTATTCGTTAATGGTGGATTGCTTGGTTTATAATTTTTTGATTGGTTGGTTAGACTTTCCTTTTTTTCTCTCTCAGTGTTCCAGTCTTCACCATGACATCATCTTCATCGTTCCCACTCTTTTCCTTGTTTTTATCAGATAAGCTAGTCATTGCAACTCCAGGCCTGGTTTTGTTGTTCGGTTCTATCAGTTTCTAATCAGCATCTTAGCTTCTCCTTCATCAATCATCAGAGCTGAGAGACTGCAAAGCTCTATGGATTTTTGAGGAAGCTGTAGGAAAAAGCAACAAAAATGAGCTTAAAAGAATTTATTTGATAGAACGAGAAAATCCGCTAATCTTTTTCCATTTCTAACGAATGGATGTTTTTTAATCCTTTTTGCAAAGCTCGATGGGATGAAACATATGAACATTACCTGCTCATCTATTCACCGACCAACCGACCCAACGACTCACCGAACGAACGAAAGACTGACCGACCGACCGACCGACCGACCGACCGACTCAACGACCCACCGAACGAACGAACGAAAGACTGACCGACCGACCCAACGAACCACCGAACGAACGAACGAAAGACTGACCGACCGACCGACTAACCAATCGACCGCCAATCGACCTCCCACTTACTTATTCTTGTCTTTTCACCCTTTCCATCTATCCGTTTGTCGATCCCAAACCACTCATATTCATATATATTGAACAGTTTCTCATACTAATGATCAACAATAGAGTCAGTGCAGCACTGACGAGGAACACCAGACCAGGAAAACCAATGAACAAAGATCCCATATAAATGAGATTGAAGATAAGAGCACCCACAAAGTTGCAAAATGTACTTATGGATGCTCGCCACGGCTGAGAATGCTGAACCTGTTTGTAATCAGTGAGACAAAACTTTACTATTGATAGCAGTGTCGCTTGCGAGTACGGTGTTAGTACACTTTCCATTCTTGTCGTCTTATTATATATACTTTTTCAATCCTTCCTTTCCACTCTTATAATTCTCTTTTTATTATATGTCGTGGTTGCCGAAGCCTCACCTGTCCGACCTCCCTTATGTTACTAACAGTATCTAGACCACTGCAAGCGTGATGCAAAGCAATGATTTCAAAGCAATTGATGGGTTGCAAGCATTCCCAAGAGAGTTAAAAGACAAAAACATGGCGGCCATTGTGGTACAGTTATCAATGGATGCTAATGAGAAATATTTTGTTAAATGGCTCCAACATGGCCGCAATGACGTAACGTGCAATCGAAGAATAGTTCCCTTCACAGTTCCCTGCACCATATTGAAAAGTAGCCGTGCCTTTGCATTGAAGCGAGACGAACGGTGAGCTTGCAATGATAGACACATATAAATAATTGTACAAGGTTTTAAAAAAAGGTCTATGCATTGCAAGCTCACCGTTCGTCTCGCTTCGATCTAAAGGCACGGCTACCTTTCAAGATGGCGAAGGGATGTTTGAAGGGGACTATTCTTCGATTGCACGTTACGTCATCGCGGCCATGTTGGTGCCATTTAACAAAAGATTTCTCATTAGCATCCATTGTTAACGTCACCACAATGGCCGCCATACTATTGTTAAGCTTGAGAATGCAAAACAATTTACTATTGAAAAATACGATAATTTATTTGTAGCATGATTAAGACTTTTAAAACACGTTCATTGGATGTGACGATCTTTACGATTGCTCCTCTCATTACTGGAGAGGCTGCTCCAGTTAAAATCCCAATAATAAGCCTTTTCATAGTTTAAGAATCGATTCCACTGCGCATGCGATTTTATCCCGAATTTCTCACCTTCTTTCGTTTAATTAAGAACCAAAGAAGGTTTAGACAAAAGAAGATGAGAAATTCGGGATAAAATTGCATGCGCAGTGGAATTGATTCTTAAACTGTGAAAAGGCTTATTGGAAAACGTGAATATTCTTCACAAACTCTAGGCTAAGCCTGAGCAAATGAGTCTGTAATCAAGAAACACAGCGGTAATTTGGAACTCGAAAAGGGTCTATTGAGTTTCATGACCTTAGACATAGATCTAACTTTTATCCGAAGACAGTTTGGAAGAAACAGCGCTTTATATTAAAGAGTACTCAATTTTCTGTCTAACGCTAGGGAAACGTTAGCAACATGCGCCATGTCATTTTTTGAGGTGAAGACATCTACGTGATGAAATTAACAAAACTCATTCAAAACGAGTATCAGTATCAAACATCTCCGCCGGGTTTCCTCCCTCCATAAAAAAACCTGCACCCTGTGAGCTGAGCGTTGTGTGCATAGAATAGAGTCGTTCTCGTATTGCTTACCATCAATTAGAAGTGATTTTTTGTAGTTTTTGATGATGAATTAAGCGATAAAATATTACTGAATAACATTACACTACGTTTCGGCGTTAACTGAACGTCATTATTAAGTGATAAAAACTAAGAAAACGTTGAATTATGTACATGAAAAATAATGAGTATAAAAAAGTGTTACTATCAATCACGTGATATTTTGGAGTTGACCAGGGGGCAATAGACCAGTTTCGATTTTCAAATTACCGCTGCGTTCCTTGATTACAGACTCAGGGTTAGCCTCGTGTCAGTGTCTAAATATTCACAAATACCAACGGTAAAGTAAAGAATGCACAACTCCAAGAATACAAACACTTTGAAACTCGACGGACCTTGACCTACATTCTACACAAACTCGAGGCTAACCCTGAGTAAATGAGTCTGTAATCAAGAAACACAGCGGTATTTTTGAACTCGCAACTGGTCTATTAATATGCAACTAGCAACTGATACCAGTGTCTTTTTTTATGTCATTAGGTTCGGCTCATGTGAAGTTCGACGTTTGACCTTTGTCTAAGTCCTAAGAGAATTCAACTGACTATTTCTACCGTCTGACACCAGGAATCAAGATACTCGTACGAACTCCAAGATCCTTCAAGCTGCCAACTGTTATAAGCCCGACATTCAAAACACAGATGTTACCGGAAGTGACGTCAATGGATAGTAACCAGTAAGTGGTGAGTACCGTCACCGTAAAGGCCGGTTTAGGCGGCTTATGTCCGTAAGAATCACACATACAGCGGCAAGGCTCAAGTTTTCAAATTTGCTCTACTTTTGGATTTAAATAGTGTATGATGCAGAATGAAACGCTGTGTGGTTAGTTTTTAAAAACACCTTTTCGTTTTCGAGAAAAAGGGAAAAGAAATTCTGATCGAGGTCCACGGACGATTCTCGCTTTCAAAAAAAGCTAAAAATTGCTTGCGTTGGCTTGGTCCTGGTAGCAAAACTCTCATTCCAAATAGCCTTATAATACTTCTCTCATCTACAGGTTTTTTTAAATCGGACAATTCGAAACATTTTAGCACAATAAAAAGCTAAGGCCACTGAGTTACAATGCTTGTGACTACGTCCCAAAAATTGCGGGATTCATCATATGCCATCTCTCTAAATCTTATAAAAATACAATCAATAGCTATTGGGAAACTGCTCTTTTGAAAATGTAGTTTTTATTTTCAGGAATTGTTGCGATAGGTTTTATTATTATTATGCGCAGTACTAAAACGTATAGATGCAAAAAATCTATGACCTGTATAGGGCGCACAGCGTAACCTATACAGTCTAAAAGGAAACTAACTACAATAAATTTAAATAGATGTCNCCCAAAGATTTTTAGCTTCCGCCGCCCCTGTAATATACTGAAGGTAAATAATTTTACGACTTTATTAGGTAATAGCTATAAGGTGCATGTATAAATTAGATAAGATAAATAAGATAAATGATAAATAAGATAAATGTTAAAGATAATACGGAAAAATGCTAATGAACGCCGGCGCTACTTGGCAAGGGTAGTACAGCGGCAAACATTCATAACGTACGGCTTTTCAAAATAGAAAGTCCCGCGTTATGACGTTTTGGAAAATACGACTAGCTTTGCGGCTCAAAATACGTGCTGGGAGAGAATTCTTCGAGCCTCTTGGACCAGGGTAAGTATCTACGAATTACTAAAACAAACATTTATAAGATATAACCCAATCTTTCTGTGCTGGCGCCCACGGCGAGCAGAGGTTAATAGCTCTTCCCCGCCTCCATAAGGGTTGAGCGGCAGCTAGTAGCCCCGGCCTAAAGCTAGAAATAAAAAGACCTCTGTGAGCAAGGTAACCGTAGCAAAATCATCTAGTTTAAATATTCCTTTGTTTGGCAAAAGCAAACGCGAGATGTTCCACTCATCAAGCAGACTTCAAAATTATCTCGTACAATGCTTCTRAGAAACCGTATAGCTCCGGAAATCTGGAAGTTACGTGAATAATTAAAGGTAGGTAAAAGGTAATAGGTAATACTTTATTTATACTGGCCCTTGCWATGGATGCTAATGCTGATTATCACAAAGATTATGCCTTCGTATTTCCAAAAACGTTCTTATAGCATAATTTAACCTTTACTCACAAGAAGTGGTTCCTTAGTGTAGTGGTTATCACGTCTGCTTTACACGCAGAAGGTCCTGGGTTCGAGCCCCAGAGGAACCATGATTTCTTTTTTTTTTTAAATGCTTTTCGCACTGTTTTTACAATAAAAACATTTTTAGACCTTTTTGCAAAGACCTTTTTTTATCAACGACTTTTTTTTTAAATAAATCATTTCATATATTTCTAGTTTYGAATTTAAGTTTTAAGTTGAATATAAAAGTGCTACTGAGATTTTGACCTATTTTTAATCATTCATTTATTTAKATAGAATTTTCCTAGTGTAATTTTTTGTACTTAAAAACAAAAATTTAGATTGCTATTGTTGGAAACTTTAAAGATTTCAAGTGAAAATCGGACGAAAAMCAAAATCCACAGGAAGCCCGGTTTTATAGCAGTGGATATTACCACAGGAAGCCCAACCCCGCGAAATGAAATTCTAAGAATTAACTATTTTTTATCTTTTGATATTTAATAATATATATTTGTATAATGTTTTTTAAGGAAATTTCTACTATAGTTTTTTCGGTATATAGCTTTTACCCTGATTTTACATAATCATGCAATATGGATTATATATATTGATATTTCATTTCCTTGAATAYTGTCTTAATATCAGTTTTAAAATCCAATTGCTTACTTTTTGGAGTTGACTGGGGGCAAACAAGCGGTTGACTGCATGGGGGGCAACTAGCGGATGCTAAGTCAAAACATACCAAAATAAGTTCTCAAACTATTGTATTTGACTATTTTCACGACATCAAACCAGAAAACAAGAGATCAAAACAACCTCCAGGATTCTACAAGCCATCAAAAAAGAGCTATTACCGGAAGTGACGTCTATTGATTGCAACCTATATGTTTTTCTACGGTTGCTAAGGAAACCTCACGAAGACACTTAAGATTTTTATTGTCGAACAAGTTAATTAGAGATATTATAATTTCCCAAGAGACACTCAAACATGCTTTTCTTTTGTTCAAATTCATTTTGTTTTCCGCCAAAGATTATGAACAAGTTTAATTAAAATATTTTTATTGTTTTTCAATCGATTCTGCTTAAGTTTGTTGACAGTTTACTTAGTACGACAACTACACGATATCCAATAACGTCAGAAGATGTGTTACAAAGATTATTTTACTGTACAGAGTGACATTCTACTCATGGCAAACAAGATCTCGCTAAGTGATATTATTTGTTGAATTTTCACACTACAGTGTTGTTAGTACGTCAGGTAATTGTTCAAGAACTGCAAACRTTTTACGAAAATCAAACATAATATTGTAGTTTCAAGTACTTGTTGTTAGTTGTACATGAAAAGTACTTAAAAGAGATGTGTTTGGTAGCTTTTAATGACTCAAAAACAAGAACTAATCGATGATGGACAGCAAAACTACACTGAAAAGCTCGAGAAATCCAAGCAAAAGAAAAAGCGGTCTGGAGACCCAAATATATCAGGAAYTTGAGGTAGAAAAATTTCAAAGGTTTCAAAACATAAATTTGGAAGTAGCGCCTTCCCCGTCTCCGTCTCCAAGATCATTTGTAACGCGAAAGCTATCTAGTAGTCCAACTAGGACGTTTACAAGCTCAAGACTAAGTCAGGTACCCGAAAAGTTTAATTATGAGGTTATTTCTATCAAAGACGAAGGAAGTGATGCTGAAGACGAGGTGGTGGCCTACGAAGAACAAGAAATAAAATATCTTCAAGACAAACCAAGTGTTTCACGCCTAGGAATACAACTCAACTCAAGCGACAACACCCTTGGATTGACGAAGAGAAAATATTCCTTAAAAATTGAAACAGAGGTACTTGAGTTTGACAATAGAGAACTCATACCAAGGTTTACTTTCAAAACAAACTCCAGGTACTGTGATAGAGCTATCTATCTGAAAAATAGCGATATACCGAAACATTTTTGTGATATTCTTGGCCCAGGGATGTGTGCTGACTGCATGAAGACCAGGAAAAAACAGGAAAATATTAATGATGCCGTGGAAAGCTTTCCYGATATTTCTGTCTCGCCCTACCAGCTTTGCGTACCACCAGAACATGACCAAAGAAAACCTAAAACTCCTAGTAAGGTTTATAAAGATTGCGATGTCTTGTTTCGTAAAAGAAGTATGAGTAGGTTTTCCTCACAGTCGCCCAATGGACGCACCACAGGAAGCCCGGCTCGACCCAATAGCTCAATTAGTGAAAATGCAGATTCAGTCTTGCGAAGTTTAACTTCTAGTCCTACTCTGAGCTTCGTCTCAGAACATTCTCGTGGTCTAGGTACTCCRAATTCATTATCAGTATCAACACCTGACCCGAACCCGCGTCGAACRAGCATCGCCCGATACATTGATAAAAATCTAAGTGGCGACCAAGGGCCTAGAAATCGGAAAGGTACCAGATCAGCAGCCAGTAAAGCTAGAGTTAAACCTAAGCTTSAAAGGCAATCATCAGATTTACACCAGAATGTTTTTCATAAAGCCATAAGTGCGAGGATGAGAGGCGAACCCAGAAGCTCGCGAACCCCGAMGATCGAACGGCGTGGGAAACTTAGCGAAGGGTCTTACTGGAGATTCCTGATTCCTGAGCCACCAGTCATGGAAGTGGGAAGAATGAACGTTAGTATATATACGCCTAAAGATTTACCGGGAATCAAGATTTTTGATGAATCACTATTTGATATCTGAATCGGTATATACACTCAATTGAAGAATCGTTGTCGGGTTCAGAAACA